AAAAAAAAAATGCAGGAGAGGTGGAAATGCTGTCAATGAAATTTTATTATTTAAGCAATTATAAATATTTTAATTTAATTAAATTAAATAAATAATTTATTTTTTATTTTCCGTTTACAGAATACTCTCGATGAGGCATTTAGACTCCCCCCAAGCGCCCCCAGTGTAACTGTAAGTTCTTACTGCATCCTTCGGGTGTATAGGCAGCTCCTTCAGGTGTATAGGCAGCTCCTTCCGGTGTATAGGCAGCTCCTTCGGGTGTATAGGCAGCTCCTTGGGGTGTATATGGAGCTTACTGGGTGAAAGCTGTTTCTTCGGGTGTATAGGCAGCTCGATATTGTGTATAGACAGCTCCTTCGGGTGTATCGGCAGCTAAATGTGGTGTATAGGCAGCCCCTTCGGGTGTATATGCAGCTTATTATGATGTATCAGCAGCTCGTTCGGGTGTATAGGCAGCTAACCGTAGTGTATAGGCAGCTGTTTCAGCTGTATATGCAGCAAGCTGGGTGAATACAGAATTTGTTGGGGTGTACACTAAGAACGCAAGAACAAAACGCTAAAAGTTTCATATTTCAGGTGTATCTGCAGCTCACCAATAAAGTACACAGGCAGCTTCCTGCGGTGTATAGGCAGCTCCTAATAAATGATGGCTCGAAGGAGTATATGATTCCACCGCATGCAGCATTTCTTTTTTTAATTTAATTTAATTTTTTTTGTTTTTTTTTTAATATTTTATTTTCTCAGTTACCAACGGACTGCTCCTTGGCGACGACGATGATCCACTTTATTGGTGAGCTGCAGATACACCTGAAATATGAAACATTCAACGTTTTGTTTTGTTCTTTTGTTGTTAGTGTTTTCTTATTTTCTCTGTTTATTTTTATTTTTATTTTTATTTTTATTTTTATTTTTTCACTCGGTCGTCTTTGTTTTGAGGTGTCTATACAGCAGCAACATTTGTTTTTATGTTTCTCTTGTTTATACTTCTTTGCTTTTCTTTTTTCTTTATATTTGTATTCTGCGTTTTTCATCTGCCTGTAGATATGTTTACCTCTTTTTCGGTGTATGTGTGTAATTATTTTCATATGTACTTGAATAGATGTGTATTTGTGTATTTGTGTATTTTTATTTGTTTTTTGTTTATTTATTTATTATTTGTTTGTTTGTTTATTTTTTATTCTTTATTTTCTATTCGTTTATTTGTGT